TCCTGTCTGTGCTCCTGTCTGTGCTCCTGCACTCTGAAGATGCCGGTCACAGGTGCTGGCGAAATGTTAGGAAACAAAACTTCCAGAACACGGCCACACAGCCCGGAAGACCCACACCAGCCAACATTATTCTTTTTTCATGCTTAACACATTCCCTGTTCTTATGGATAAGAGGCTGAGAAAAATAGCTTGCATGAGTCTCTGAATCAGGATCAGCTCTTGGTGTCTTCATGGACACATTGTATAGCTGTTTTGGCAATAATATGGAATGCTTTGCTGCTATCTTTTTCCAGGATATTTTTTCAATTTGCCAAGCTAGCCTATAGCCCTAAGTTTACTTGTTGGTCTCCCATCCAAATACTAACCAGGTTTCACTCTGCTGAACTTTCCAAGGTCAGGTAGATGCTACTACTTTAGATCTATTTCTAGTATCTAGCTGAAGGCCAACTTGTTCTTCCTTACTAGAGGCTTCACTCCTAAGTATTTATTATCAGTGCACATTATCTGATTAATAGTTTTAAGATCTGAATGCAAGATTATCTGATGTTGGCTTTTTGGGAAACAGAGCAGAAGTCAAACTATATACACCTACCTTGGAGTAATAACCACTGGACTCAATGGGAGTTACTTCTGAATAATCAGCCAGAGAAACTGTTTATGAAATTTACTGCTACATCTGACAAAATGTTTTCTAAGTAAGAGAGATAAATTTGCTTCTACTACTGAGCCCCTTATGGTATAAATAACAAGGACAAAGAAGGTGCTATAGAAATATATGAACAACAGGAATGATGCATATTCCTCAAACAATTTTCAAATCTACTTTGCTTTGTGTGTTTTTTTTTTTAATGTTGATAGATTCTCAGGAAAGGTTCGGCTTGAATCATATTACTGCTACCCTAAACATATTTCTCCTCATTTTTGTTAGTTTAGGAAATGATGCCTCACCTTGTCCACATAGGTATAGTAAACACTCTCAGGTGTGAGTGAACCATCCTCAAGTTTCTGACAGAGTTCAGGCAAAGTCAGTGATAAAATAGGTGCTGATTGGTGATCTGGATTCTGAAGAGAAAAAAATCCCCATGTGTAATTTCAATCATAATAAAACGCTGCTGCTTCTTTTAGATACATATATAACCCATCTGCAGAGGAAACAAATATTTAGGATTCTTCCAATACAGCTGAAGAAGAATCCTGCGTAAACTACTCAGTCATATAACTGATGCTCTGACCCACATTAAAAGCAATGCTAAGCAGATTCAACCTTAAATATGTAAAATATGTTGTCAGAAATGTTGAAGTGACTCTTGATACAGCCACATTTTTGGCAGTGCTTATTAAATACAGGTTGTGATTTAATTAGGAAAGTAAGAATATGCTACCATCAGTTTATTATTTTTGAATATTTTATGGATATACCTTTTAATGTAATTAAGCCTGCAATAGTCATCTTTTGCTTGTGAGTCTTTTGACTGTAATAAACAGTGACTGTGAGTCTTTTGACTGTAATAAACTGATTATTGATGCTCACTGTGACTGTAAGTCTTTTGACTGTAGTAAACTGATTATTGATGCTGCCCAAGGGATGAAGCCTAAGACATGGCTCCCAGCTTGATTACAGACTCACTAGGTAGCCTTTAGTAATCCTCAGACAACTCTTTCATAACAAAATGGAAACAAAAAGATAGTTTACTTTTGGAGATGAGTAGACACTGAATATTAACTCTCTGCAGAGTCTGCCTAAAGTAAAATTCTTGTTTTGCAACCCAGGAGCTGGGTGATTCATACATCCCTCTGTTCTTGCCAACTCTGATTGGAGTAAAAACCTCCATATTATCAAGAATCCCAGTAACTCTGAATTGTATGGAAGTTTTAAAATTGCAAACAAAGACTTAGGGAAGCCTCTGCCCAATATCCCAGATCAGGGTTTCTCAACTGGAGTTCCATGGAACTCTAGGGTTCTGAGAGGTCACTAGGAGTTCCCTGGGAGATCATGATTTATTTAAAAAAATATTTCAAATTCAGGCAATGCACTCTCACAGTGATGAGCAGAGACTGAACAAAAATCTAGTTACAATTCTTTTTGAGCTCTCTGGTAGTGCGCTGTAGGACTGTGTTTATTTGAATCCATTTTTGATGCAAGATGGGGGAGACCACTGATAACAGGTGAACGCTATACTGCAGGAAGGGAGGAATCTATTGAAAGGGGAGGGAGAAGTGCATTTTTCAAGGAATTAATGGACTTGTCCAACTTAGTCTATGACATCAATCTCTCCCTCCTGCATCTTTCCCCTGCAGTTTTCCTGTAGTTATTTTATCCTGTTATTTTAAATACATTTTATACATGCTTATTCAGTCATGTCTGAGGGTCCAATGTGGCAATTCCTGAAGAGGAGGTGTGAGAGAGAAGAAGAGAATTCTAGAGCGGACAATACCGATAAGTTTAATGATGATAATGATACTGAAGGATTTAAATCTTCTCAAGCATTTCCTTGCACTGGTACACCCATGGACTCAAAAAAAAAAAAGTCCCTCTTTACAATGAAAGCTATTTATCAATGGGTTTTACATGGACTGGTGGTCCAAGTTGTCCTATTCTGTTGTGTCTCATCTGTGGCAAACAACTTACAAATGCAGCAATGGCTCCAGCAAAATTAAAAAGACCCTTAACTACAAATCACAGCCATATGGCAAGTTCTGATTATTTTAAATGGCTATTGGAATCACAGAACAA